GGAGCTCTATCGATATGTTCTTCGATGAATACTCCATCACTGCTGCCACTCACTGCAGAAATCTCGAGTACTTTAAAATCAGGTCTTTCACTACCCTTCAAACTCCGCTCAGCGATATGATCATTAAATTGTTTCCCACGTCGTTGCTAGGAAATGATCTTTTTTTCCATGCCCTGGGGTGATCTGAAGTTCCTTCGTATGTGGTTTTCAGCTTTGCAGTTCCGACACTTTGGTGTCTTCACTCCTTTTTCGTCTCATGGCATTTAATTATCTGTTTAACTTGTCTGTCTTACTTTTAGCGCTCTGGAGTGTTCTGCAGTTCCTTCGTATGTGGCCTTCAACACCGCAGTTCCAGCACTTCTGAACTGGTTTCTTTTCTCTCCTGTTCCGTCTCAAGGCACTGACTGGTCTTGTCAAATCATCCGTTTTATTTTCTGTGCTCTGGGGTGTTCTTTAGTGCTGTCGTATGTGGCCTTCAGCACCACATTTCCAACACTTTAGAGTCGGTTTGCTCTCACTCCTACTCCGTATCAATGCATTGACTTGTCTGGATAAATCATCTAAACTAGCCATCAGTTGATCCACTGGCTCTCGATCAAGCACAGCTCTTGTACTGGTCACTACGAGTCACTCGCAGGGACTGGTTGGCAGTCTCTACGAGTTGCTTGCTGGGCTGTCCCGAATTTTATGGCGCACCTTTTACGTCCTTGACATCCGCCATTCGCAGTGCTTTCTGTATTTTAGTATCCTGGATGTTGTCGATGAAATATTGCAGCGACAGCATTTTCCTTGTAAGCCACTCCGAGAAGGCGTGGTGAGATAGCCTTTCAACATTCGTGGCGAGCTCCTGCAGATTTTCCGTTGGCTTCTCTTGACGGAATTTTAATTAAAGCCTGCTTTCAAGTCTTTTAAATACTGCTCTTCAAAGCACAGCTCTAATGCGCCGGACAGAGCTTCGAAATCTAGCCGTTTGTTTTCGGGAAGAGTCTAGAGGATATCCGCTGCGATCTTCACTTGATTCCTTTTTCCATATGTAATGTAGAAAAACAATCAGCTGGGACAAAACTTTTGTATCAATAGATTCGTCCAGTTAATTCTTGCGACCGATTGATTTCTAGCGCATTGATGCATTTCATCAATTCTGAGAGCTATTTTATTATCAGAAAATGGTATTATTTCGATTTCCTTTTCACCAAACATAACTTCAGTTTCATTCTTTATTACTTGGGATACTAGTTTTGCCAATTGTCCGGTCCTTAGCAGTGTTCGCAATTTCATAACTAATCAGATATAAAGCTTGCATGTCTTTTCCGTTTATCTTGGTGAAATGCAGATGCTTCGTTTTTTAAAATTTCACCACGTCCAACTTTCTTTTAAAAAATTCTAGAGAATGATTTTTTTTTTTCAATCTGCCGATATAATTTACTTCGCATGCCTTCGTTTGCAAGAATTTCATTGCAAATAACACAATCACGTTTGAGACTACCGTCTCTTCATTCCATGAAAATCCTAATGTAATAAAAGAGTGTACCGGGGCTCTTTATTGGGGTTTACGGTATCCGTGCATTCGGCCAGCATGCAACTGCAATTTGAATTTGAGACAACTGGCTTACAATAGCGTAAAAAATTTAATATTTTTAATGTTTCAGTAGCTTACAGATTTAATGATTAATCAACAATAAATGTTTCTTTCGATGGGAGATTCAATAATTTTTTTATAATACATTGATACGAACATCGAGTTCAAGCTTCTGAACTTAAAAAAAGAGAGAGAGAAGAAGATGTAAAATTGACGATATACATTTTTAAATATTTAAAAATTAGTTTTGTAGGCATTCAAGGTTTAAACATATATAACATGTGTTCGGAGAAACGCATGTGTTTTTTTAGTGGAAAACAGTTAAACAAATGTGTTCAAATCTAGGAAAAAAATATATAGGAAAAAATTATGCGTCATTGCATTGATAAATTTTTATTAAAGAAATAAACTGGTTTTCTTATTCGATAGATATAATGTATGCAATATTTGATAAAACCTTAATTGTCACTTATATGCGTCGGAGAAATGTTTTCATATCAGGAAAAAGGTGGAGAAAATAAGTTGTTATTCCCATGAATGCAAAAATTCTTAGATACTACAATATCGATATAAAATATTGTTACGAAATGTCAAGGCGCGGTAAGATGGCTTCCCCGCAAAGCATTTTTAGGGTTGCAATAAAAAGGCAAGGGAAGGCAGGGTTGCCACATTTGGCGACAAAATTGGCGATATACCATGGACGGTTGGAGAACCTTCTGGAACGAATTCTTACCGGTTTGGAAAAGCATTTACTCCAATAGGCTATTACTCGCTCTTGACCATTAAGCATTTGAGAAAGGACAGCTCCAAAGTCACGTTTTACAGTCGTCGAAGATCTACTATAAACACGCTGACACGATCAGCTACACAGCCTCCAGGTTATCAGGCTATCACGGTGGAGACGGCTTCACGGCAAAGCACTTCAGTACAGCTCGCGACTCTGCTTGGTCGTTCTCGGAACTCTACGTACTCTTGAGACTCTTCACGCTACAACTCGTGATGCACTCGACGACACACAGAGCATAGCTCCTGACTCTTCGGTTCAGTCGGTCTCGGAGCTCAACACGCTCTCTCGACGATGCACTAACCGCGATATACTTCGAGACTCTTTCGGTGCACTCGACGACCCACTCGGCACTCACTGCCCCGGCTGTCAACTCGATCGACTCTGCACGGACTGACTCGTTAGACGAGACACACTCTCAATACTACCTATCTCGCACTTTACGAGGCACACTCTTACTTGCCCTCTCCACGAGGATCCCACCCACTAACTAACTGCGGACCAGCAGGGTTTATATAGCTTTCGGCTTGTGTTCGAGAACATTCTGGGCTAAACCGGTAAGAATTCGTTCCAGAAGGTTTTCCAACTTCTCGGTAATAGGTTCCGGCTCGGCAGGAACCATATGGTTGCCTTTTGGCTGTGGGTCATATACCTACATGGTCAGATATCGAAAGTTTTTCTTCAGGGTTTGGCTAGCCTTGGTCAACACTGGGGAACGGCCGCAAATGTGCTCATATTGATTAAATGCTCGCCAGGACCTGTGTTAAAGAGATCCCAATTGATTTCTCACATCCTGAAATAAGTTACCACACGGAAAAAAAATTGGGTAAAGTTTTACAAAATATAAAATAGATGATAAAGCAAATTCCAATTTCCAAATTTGGGGTTTCCATATGCCCATATTCGAGTGGAGGACTTCATTATTCAAAATTTGATGTCTCTAGGTACCTTTTCTTTCACGACGTGAGAAACATACATACATTTATGTAGATTCTTCATTATTTAATTTCTTCAAATATCATACAGAGCTCTAATATTTGGTGGCAACAATATGAAAAGTGATTCAGACTTTTATTGTGAACCAACGCAAAATGTAAAACGAAATTAATAGCCTTTCTGGGCAAATTGCCCCTTTGGACTAAAATTCTCAGTTGATTTTCCATATTTCTACATTACCTGACTATTTATTCAAAATTTGTACCTCGTGGATATATTTTGATACTGCCTTAGATACTTAAATTGCTGGGAATATTAATTACAAAAGTCGAAAATCAATATTAATTTAGTTTTAATTTTTTATAACAATATCGGTTTTTAAGGAGATCGCTTTCTTGAAAGAGAAAAGCATTCTACGAATAATATATATAATAACTGGATATGTATTAGTTACAATGATGTAATGCAATGGATATCCAACATGTCCACAAAAGGCATATATTTCAGACCCGCTCAGATTATCTATCAAACAGTCAGAAAGTGAAATACAGTAAGATCCCGCTTAACGCTGTTTCGTTTAGCGCTGTTTCGGTTTAGCGCTCTTTTATTTCAACCCGGGGATTCTCCGAAATTGTGCGCAGCGCTAGGTTTCCAAATAACATATCCGAAACAGTGTAGTTGTGTTTCTTGCTTGGTGGACGCATTTTTATCATTTGAAACATTTGTTGACATTATTGTAAGTTTAAATTTGTATATAATACTAACGATTAATACAGTGACAAATATTATGATCTTTAGTTTTTGTCATGGGTGATAATAAAAAACAAGAAAAGAAAGCAACCAGAAAAAGCATTTCACTGGAAACTCAAATGCAAGTGATTAGAAGATTAGATTCTGGTGAACGTCAATCTCAAATTAGTGCTGCATTGATTTTGGCAACTTCAACAATAAGGACAATTCTTAAGAATAAAGAAAAAATACTGTCATCGGCAACTGCAACTACGTCAAGCTCTGCAACTAGAATTACCCGTTCTAGAAATAACATTATAGAGGAAATGGAGAAACGACTGTCTATATGGATTGACGACGAAATTGAACGCAATATGCCATTAAGCCAATCTATCATAATGCCTTCTTGACAAAAAGGCAGAAAATTGGAAACCCAGAATAGACTGAATGATCTGACTGAGAATTTTATTGTTTTTAAAAGTATATGCGTTTATATTGTTTTTATTTTTGTAAGAAATAAATGTTTGATTTATTTATATTAAAAAAAAATTATTAAATTTAATGCCTAACCATTTTTTATCCGTCTTCCCCTAACCCCATTATTTACATGTTAAGATAACCTCGCTTAGCGCTGTTTCGCATTACGCTCTACTTCGATGGAACGTATCCCCCGCGTTAAGCGGGGTCATACTGTATAAGGAGATACGCTAGGTACTAGTTGAACATTATATTTATTTATAAAATTTAACTGTGACGTATTTATTCCGAAAATTATGCCTAACAGGCATTCATTGGCATCTAGAAATGAAGGCCTGTATTGTTATAATACTGCGAGTAATAAAGCTAAGTAATGTTTGTATTCCTTCATTCGTGAATTACGTGCTCTCTATATTAATAATTGGGAAAACTCAACTTTTGTTTGGCATCGATATCAAATGAGAAGGACAGATGTTTCGAGATAAAAATACACACTTTACGTTTTAAATGAGCAGTTTATTCATGTTATTTTAGAATAATAAGCATTGGTCATCAGTGACAATTCATTTTTAAGATAATTAGAATTAAGTTCTACCCGCTTTGAGAAAATAAGACGTCGCAAGAATAGAACGGTGAAGAATGAAACATGTTCTTCGTATATATTTATATTAACTATCAATTAGAAGAGCTGGAAATGAAAAATGTTTCTTTCTAACGAGAAAACGTTTTCGGGAAATCATGAATTCATAATCTCAGCATACGATTTGTTCTTAGTTTAAAAATAATCGATAGCGGTGGATTGAATAACACCGCCATAATGATGGCGATGTTCGAAAAAATAGATTTAAAATATATAATTCGATAAAGATACTAATTGAACTTTACTGGTGTTATAAATTTTATTTAAAGTTAATTTGTTAGTGAAATTTGTTATGTATTTTAAGCAACTATAAAAATGATGATTGTGCATATGTAGCAGAAATGACTTAATCTTTAATGGAAAAATGGAAATTTTTCCATCCTTTTCTTAATGGAAAAATCTTTTAGTCAATTTACTCGTAAATAAAGTACTACTTTTATTAAATGTCTTTTAGTTTAACATTGTGTTATTATAAACTGTTCACTTTTTTTTTTTTAGAATTTCATCATCTTTAAAACTGACTTTTAAATGTGTTACAGTTTTCAAATATTAGAATTCGTGTTTGAAACCTTAAAACTGAAGATGTTTCAAGAATTATATCAGTATGCTGAGATATATTACGCCAAATTTTACAAAGTAAAAATTTCGGAAAATAAAAATAAAAATAAAAAAAACAGCTATATTTATGAGGTATGATATATATCTATGATCAAACATTAATTTCATAACTTCATTACATTACATTAAATGTTACATTATATTAATAATTATGAAGAAATTCTTTTTCACTACGTTCCACGAAATGCTGCATTAAATCAATAATTATTGTAAATTTCTTTTTAGAATAAATTAGAATAAATAAATCTTATACTTTTATTCAAATCAGTTCTCGTTCTGCATTTTGAAGAATTTTTGTATATATATTAGTAATTGACTAATGAAATAGAATTTGTGATAAGAAGTGGTATAGGCAAATAATCCCAAATTAATCAGGATTTCAGTAATGCCAAACATGTACACACTAATCAGAAATGCAAACGATTCCTTACATATTATCACAATATTATGCCACTGTTGTTTGAACAAATCACAGTCTTGTATTTTGTGAGACTACTTTATGGACAGTGTGAATATCAAGCTTCGCGGTCTCTCTTCTCAAAGAAGTTTCTTTGTGATCTAAAATCTTACGAAGACATTGTTCTTGAGACCGTCCCTATGCGTAGCCCAAAAATCGGGACTTATAATTGCGTCTGTCATGTGTACAATTCCGTTTGTTGCCATAATGTCGCAGTCGACGATGCGAGCGCCTCCTACCAGCAAGGATCCATGTCGGGACCGCTCCATTCGTAACAGGAATCCATCAATGGCGCGACTTTGTTGACGGCCGGACAGCAGGTCCCCTGTCAGTTGAGAGCAACATACGGCACCTGAAATTATTGATAATCAGTATGCTTAACTTCGTTTATTTTAGTTTTCTCTGAGCAATTGAAAAGGTTAAAATACAACATAAAGTATAAAGAATGAGATGAAGATGAGATCATATCTTTTTCTGTAGTTTCACAGCACTCTTTTACTTTTTTTTTTCCCACGGACATTGGGCAACTGATCCACTAGGATAGTTAGTTTATCGGCCAGGTGGTCTAGTTGACGAAACTGTTTGTTTCAAAATCTCCTTGATTGCAGTCTCTCCAGGGTTATCTTTGGTGAAGGAACAAGTAAGCTGACGTGTTTCAGTTCTTTTAAAATGTCAAAGTTGGGGGGTGGGCATGATGAGCACTGGATAAATAAGTGGCTCAAGGATGGATGAATTGTGCAATGCAGGTGAAGAGAATATTTACTGTTTCCACATGCTACCGAGTTGGAGGTGAACGGACAAAATATAACCCTTAACTCTTAAGTTCGATAGATACATACGATACAGGTACAAGGTGATTGAGTTTCATGGCTATGCATAACATAATTATCTAAATAATGCAAAGTTAAGTCGTTAATAATACATTGAGTGTGACAATAAACAATTAACACAATTACTGACACAAAAAATTAAAATAATACGTTAAGTAAGGCAGTAAGTATAATTATTAAAAATTAAATTCGAATTTCTTACATGACGCACTTTATTTAGAGATTTAAAAATAAATTAAATTGAAAAAAATTTAAAAAAAACATTTAACGCAAGGGCAGAACATGTAGTGGTTTTGCTGGTGATACTGATGATGGATGAATTTTACTCCATTCTACTCGATCTGTTAATTTGCAATAATGATGCAGTAGTGTATGCATTTCCGAGCGCAGTTGATTTCTCAAAATATTTTCAGCCATGCGCAGATATTGTCCTCAGCTGGCTGTAGGAGTTGATAATTGAAAATAATGTTATGTATTTATTTATTGAAAGGTGATTTTTTATGGGTGTGAAAATGACTAACTTAATTTAAATGAGGTGTAGGAATGTAAAGAATTTCTGTTGATGTTGGCAACTGAGTGTGTATTAGTGTTATAGTAGGAAAATGAGGGGGGATATTTGTGTCTCTCGAGAGGGGGGAGTAGTAGGGGTCAGATAGTTCGGTTTGGAATTGTAATGAAATTTGATCCACCGAACGAAATTCGCAGCCGAAGAGAGTATATACTCGTATTCAGTGATGGTGTTAATATTGTTGCGTGCGTACGGGTTCGTAAGAGAATGAATGCACAAGTCCGATAAATAGATAATAATACAAGAAATATACCAAAATGCTGAATTTTTCTTCAAAGATATCCGTACAGTATCACAACATCACCCAACATCACGCAGTAGTTATATTTTAAACTACTAAAATGTTAAATAGAACGCAATCCAAAGCGCAGAGAAAGCTAATCTGATTCGCTACAGTCAACAACAACAGGTATCTAAACAACTGAACTGAGATGTTTCTCTCCGGCTTTTTAAAGCTTTTTAATCGGTAACAAGACGGTTCCGGTAATTTCTATTTTCTCGAGGTTTCTGCAAAGCAAAAGAATAGAATTACGGTTACAGATAACACATCAGTCAATTAAATTTATTAAATTTAAATATAAATTACGAGATATCCATTTATTATATGCTAAATGCGCGTGGTCCTGTATTTTAACTTTTTCGGCGTAGCTTTCTCTTAAAATATGTCTCGTGCTGCATTGCACTGGGATATAAAATAATTTGAATTATAATTCTACTAAAAACATCTAACTAAATACAAAATTTGTAACAACATTAAGATCGACTTGAATTACATTGTTGGACATAAACCAGGATCATTAGCTATTTATCCGAAGGCTTCATTTTATAAAGTTTCCAGCTTTTTTAAAGTGAGTTATTGCTGCATGTTCTCAAATTTGGATGCATATAGTGCCGAGCATAGGATAATTTTGTGCAGGATGAGCTTATTTGAAAGTGAAAGATTGTTATGACGACCTAGTAGTTGTCTCATTATTTCACTGGGGATTTTAAATATTTCAGCTTAAGCTATGAAATACTCTCGGAGTGCTAGTTTGCTAACAAGAGAATATTTAACCTCAATGACCCACTTGATATCTTCCTAAGATATACCCTGTCTGTTCCTGGGGGAGTGTAGTTTCTGTAAAATAAGATGATTGATCATCGCGTGAAAATTATTTATGTGCACGATTATTCCATTGTATGTTTGCTATGGTTACACGTTCGCTTTCTCGCACGGATGACTTTTGTGTTAAATTACATCAAGTATTTTAATTTGTGCTTTATAAAGTTAGTACTTTATACCTTATATCTTTTTTTATTCCCAAGAATGCGTAATTTTAAATTGTTGGCATTCCTAAATGCAATTTTAAAAATTTTCTTCAGATTGCGAAAATAAGGTAAATTAATGTTGCGAGGAATCTCACCTGTCTGATAATAACATGATATTAATTCCATGTAGTTTATCGATGCCAAGAAGCAAGTCTGTTACATCAGTACAGACTTTCAGTACTGAAACTGAGTCTATCAGTACTGATACTGAGACTACCAGTACTGACACATCTATACAGTACCTGAAGCTTAGACCTCAGGTACTTCATAGATGACAGTATGAATTTGACCAACTCCGTCTCCATTTTAAAACAGAATCCTTAAGGTGACGTGTTAAAGAGTCTCGTATTGCTCTTCCTCTACTACCAATCTCCACAGAGGGCATCCAGCTTTGCTATACTTGTAGTGTCCTCAGTGTCACAAAAACACTATAGACATACAAGCGCCGATGCCTTCTCTGAGATTCTGACACGGTTCCAAGTTTATACACCCGACTTCCCTATCGTTGCTCCATCAGGGCCGCATTAGGAAACGTAAACACTGCAATACTGTATAGTTTTAAATGCATTTCCTGATGGCATGTAACATTAAAAAATTTAATTGTTTTATACCAAAAGGCAGCAAAATTAACTTATGATATCCTCTAAATTAAATATAATTAAAATAAGGCAAAAGCTTTTTATGGATTCTGCTTATAATTGAAAAGATTCAAAAAGCGTATCACTGAAAAACCGAAAATACCGTTACGAATTTTCTATTTAGATAGCTAACGTTAGTAGAATTATAATTAAAATTGTTTTATTTCCCCGTGCAATACGGCGCGAAACGAGTTTTAAGAGAAAGCTATGCCGGAAAAATAAAAATACAGGAGCACGTGCATTTAAGATTGACTAAAAGTTTATTTCTGAGTAAAATTCCAGCGTTCTGTTATATTTCTTTTCATATGAATAAAATTTGTCAACCTTTTATCGAACTTGTGCATTCAATCTATTACGAACCCTCACGCAACACTTTTTGGTGTCAGGAGTGGTGTTGAATGTCAGTGACAAGAGCGATGGAGGAACAATTAAGGCAATTAGTTGCAGCCTTTGCTGTGTTTCAAGAAGAGATGATGCTAGTCAAGAATCAATTAAAGCAGAAATGAAAGCTGATCAAGAGTTCGTAAAAGAGGAGATTTAAGCTGGTCAAATATCCGTTAAAGAGGAGATGAAAGCCGGTCAAGCAAGATGGAAGCTCGTAAAGTATATGTTAAAGATGAGATGAAATCTCTTCAGGATATGTTAAAGTAGAAATGAAGGCTGTTCAAGAAAGATTGACGCAGGTCAAGAGGAAATGAAAAGAGAAATTACCTGCGTAATAGATAACAAATTCGAGGTTATGAAAGTCAGAACTGACGCGGTTGAAAAAAAAGTTGGACACAAGAAAGAGTTTCTTCTGTAAAAGAACAAATAGAAGGGAGAGCTTCTTCCGTGGAACAACAAATTGATGACAGGGTTCCTGCAGTCGCGAAAGAAACTGACACCTTAAAAAAATTGTAACGACGGTACGGAGCAATTAGGACAGTTTTTAATTATTACCCATGTCTGCTCATTCCTCTCTGAAGTTACGCACATATGATGAACCTCTTGGTATAAGATACAATTTTCTATAGTGGCAGAAGCAAGTGGATGGGAATCCCAAACTTTGGGCTGTCGTCATTCTCTGAAAGCAGACGCTGCGGATATTCTTCAAATTCATCCAGAAAATCAGAGACTAGACTTCGAAGCTTTATCCGATGCGTTAAAGCTGCGATTTGAGGAGAAGTGCTTAAAAGACTGCAGCAGGTTTCAATTAAAATCCCGTCATAAGAAGCCCACGGAAACTCTCCAGGAACTTTCCGCGTATGTTGAAAGACTGTTTCTCTTGCCTTTTCAGAATGCCTGACAGAAACAAGGGAAATACTGTCCCTGCAGTACTTCATCAACGGCATCCTGAAACTTGAAATACAGATAGCTCCTACAAATGGCGGATGTTATGAATTTAAAAAGGACTCTAGTGCACTCCATTAAATTCGAGGCAGCTCAGCAAGCAACTCGTAAATTCCAACACCTAGTCAGGTCCAAGAGCCAAAAGGATCAAATGACTGCTCGTCCAGACGATTTAATGAGTCAACTGAATGCCTTGAGACGGCATATTGTGACAAGAAACCGATCCTCCAGATTTGTGTTCGGAGGGACTACAGACTATGTAACAGACTATGGACTACAGACTATAAAACTTACGAAGCCTGTCTGATATACCTGGATGACATCATCATCGTCGGGAAGAGTTTTAAAGAACATCTAGAAAATCTTACAAAGGTGCTTCAGAAACTTAAAGAAGCCAATCCAAAGCTAAGTCCTGCCAAATGTAAATATTCAGAAATTAAGTTACTTACATAGGACATGTCATCTCTGTTGAAGGTGTGTGTACGGATCCTGAAAAAGCGTCAGCAGTTAAAGACTGACGACGGCCCGAAAATGTCCATCAGCTGAGAAGTTTCCTTTGGCTTCGCACCTACTATAGGAGATTCGTGAAGGAATTTTCTTCCATCGCAAGACCCTTTCACAAGTTGACAGAGAGCAAGCAAAAGTTCTTGTGGACAAGAGAATGTGAGAATGCATTTAA